ACAACAAAATGTTGATATTCGTGTGTGTACCTCGCATTTGGATTTCTATCCACATCCATCTGCTCGTAATAAAGGAAGCAGGGGTTGCACAGACGTTTGCTCCGCTCCATGTTTGGTATTACCAACTTCACAATAACGGAGCTGGTTGTCACGCAGAAGTGATTTCCACCTCTAGCCCGAAATACAGCCAACTCCCTTTTTGTAGAAGTCGGGGATCCGGGAGCATCAGCCTCAATGCCCTCATCCTCGTCATCGCTGGCGGGTTCATCGGCGGCCGGGGCTGGACCAACTGCACCCATCATAGCCTCACCGGCTGGTGGTGCTGGGCCAGCAGCACCTACTACATCATCCCCATCTCCATCATCACCGACAGCAGCAGCAGCAGCAGCAGCAGCAGCAGCGGCAACCTGTATTGAAGTATAATGATTAGTTATTTTATAAGCATAAGATCATGGTAAAAAACTTACTTCATGCTCTATCTGGTCCCAAAATTCACCAATTCCCGGCTTATTTTCGTCGAAACGCGCTATCAAAGCCAGGTGGCGCTCGACCTCAGACACAAATGCGGCGTTTACTGCGTTATCCATTTCTCGGTGATGTTCAGCTATAATAGGGTGATGGTCAGCTTTAATCGGATGACTGATGCTGGTAAGTGGTCGAGACCTCCTTATATATGGTTATGTATTTCCACCTCCACTCTCCCAACCCTCGAATTTACCACCTCCCCTGCATAACATCACGCTCAGTAGTGTGCATCTAGTTCCGGATAGTTGGATGTCAGAAAAAATTTTACTCTAGCATTAATCGGTGTTCTGCAGATAATACAAAAAACTACAGATCGACTGCATGTAACACAAGATACAGCATGTCCACATGGTATAAAAACCATTTGCACCTCCTTATCGACACAAATCTTGCAAGTGAGGCGCTTACTAATAGAACAACCATCAATTAATGTATGCATAGTAGTGCGAGATCTTCAAGGAAAATGCGGCTAATTGAGGTTGGAAGAACTCTTTTAATAACAGGATGGTGGCTAAATGTTGAGTGGGAGCCAATTTAAAATTAAAGTTGACACAAAATTATACTTTTTAGCCTATCGAGTGACCTTTTTTTTTATTTAGAGTATTTTTGTTGGCCCTGAAAGGACCTTTTTTCTCAACTAGAGTAGACACTCTAATGCGAGTCAGAATCGCTGTCCGTTGCGTAGCTGTTTGATTTATCGCTGTCGGATAATACGGTTGTTTCTACCGCAGCGCTATTGCAGGAGATGTTGATGAGTCGCAAGGACTCCCAACATGATCTGAAATAGCTCTTCGATGGTTCCCCCTTATAATCAGGGTGGGCTAAAATCTGTATCACTTGTAGAATCACACATCATGAAGTAGAATGAATGTATGCATATGTGTGATGAGTATTAATAGTGATCTAAAAAAGTATGAGAGAGAAGTGATAGTACATATCATAAAATTTCGTTATTATACGTATTATTAAAAAGTGAACAAAATTCAAACTAATAGCATTTATATTTAAAGCTACATTCCCAAACCACCCTGGAGGTATTAGCTATGGCTCATTCCTTTTTTTAACGTGGAAGGTCCTCGGTAGGTATACTTAACCACAACTAACGAAACCAAATTAAAAATTTATTTACCTACCCTATCGCGAACATATGCCCTCTAATAACTGTTTATAGCCCGTCTTCGTAGCGCGCACCCATAAAAAATATTCAAACTAATAGTATATATTTAAAGCTACATTTTCAAATCACCTCGGTATAGGTATTTGCTTTTTTTTTTCGATTTTTTTGGGGAGTGGTAAAAATCTTCTGAAAAACACCTAGCCGCCCAATGACTAGGTAGTGTCGGGTTGTGCTCCCGACTGAATAGCACGACCGACTAAAAATCCACTCTGGACCCGGCCCCCCGGCAGGCACACATAACCGCGACTAATAAAAAATGTCTTCATATATCCGCCAACGAAAAAAAGTTATTCAACTTATGTTTGTATTTTGCCTTCCTAACACGCAACTGTTCGCTTAATTCACTAAAGCGCGCCCCAACAATCTCACAGGCCTTCTTTTTTTTTCATAATCCGGATGAGATTGTCTCACTTTAGCAATTTCCGCGTCCACATCCCTCTGCATTTGACGTAAAATAGCTTGGTGGTGAAGGGCCTCATCCGTCTGTCTTTTCAACTCAGCCAAATGCAGCTGGATGCGTAAGCCTTCGTCAGTCAACGCATCAGACTGGCGCTGAAGTGGTACTATGGTTACTCCCATATCCACTTCCATACCGCTCACCATCATCTTTATTTGTTTTAGCGTGGATTCGGTCGTGTCCAACTGCTCTCTATCAGCCTTCAACCGCGTCTGCATATTCTCAAGCTCGGCGCTGGCGGAGTTGAAATCCCTCATCAGGCTGTCATCGTCTTCATCTCTGGGCGGTATCGGGATTGGCGCAGCCGCACTTGTTGAGGCTACGGCCTTCAACTTCTTCACAGCCATGGTTTTCTGCTTCTTTGGGGCCCTTGGTTTTTTACTTTTCGGCACAACCACTTGCGGCCTCGTTGGCTTCGACCTACAGGGCGCATCTTCAATTGTGCCGACAAGTTTACCTTTCGGCAGTTTTTTCGCCGTGACTGAGGTCGGCAGTGTAGGGATGCGGACATTGCTGAGGACCCGGATCTTCGGCCCTACAGATTCGAAATCATCCTCGCTATCGTAGATTACCACCGGTTCTGGGGGTGGTAACGGGGCTGGTAACGAGGCTGGTAACGGGGCCGGTACCGGAGCGATTTCGACCATAGTCTGAGACAACTCCATCGGTGTCACAGGGCTAGGTATTGCAGCCATTGCAGTCATCAACAGCATCTCTATGTCGAAATCGTCCGGCATGCAGTCAAGCAGGGTGTCAGTGGTAGCAGCGGCGGTTTCTCCTGTTGGGAGGATGGAGTTCGTTGCGGCGACGGTTTCTTCAAATGAATTCATGTTGAACTTGAAAAAATGAAACAAGAAAATTAAGTAGTTTACTCAGATAACTGAAGCAAACTGAATTTCTTACTGCTGGTCTCCGTATATATAGCGATATGAAAGAGAGAGGAGTGGAGGGGAGAGAGTGGGAGTCTCTCACAGCCTCATGTTGTAAATAACGGGCATCGCATAGTTTTTGTTGGTTCTAAAAAAGAACCGTTTTTTTTTTTAAGTTTTTTGTTGGTCCTGAAAAGGACCCGCCTCACCGCTTCGGGGGTCGGCTACCGCCGCCCTCCCTCGCTTTTTTTTTTTAAGTTTTTTGTTGGTCCTGAAAAGGACCGTTTTTGGATGAACACAGACGCCCTATTGCGAGTCAGAATCTCTATCTGAGTCGTCAGACATTGAGTCGTCCGACTCAGTGTTCGGCTCGGTGTCATACGACCACTCGTCCAGAATTAAAATCCGGGAGTCGCATGGGCCGGGCGGTGTCGATGGCCGTCGAGGTCTTAGACCCGCTGTTGAATCACAGGGGCCATCGGATTCTGCTCCTACCCCTGTAATAGTTTGAGTTGTCGAGTCGCATTGTGCAATTTCAATGACATCGGCCATGACTGTCTTCGGTAGTGATCTACGGCAGACTAAGTTTTAGAGCCCGGGTGCTGGGTATGTATAGTACACATAAAGAGTGGGAGAGAGTGGGGAGAGAGTGGGGAGAGCATCGACGAGGCATTTTAATCGAAAAAAAGGGAAAAAAAGGGAAAAAAAAGGGAAAAAAAGGGAAAAAAAGGGAAAAAAAAAGGGAAAAAAAAGGGAAAAAAAAAGGGAAAAAAAAGGGAAAAAAAAGGGAAAAAAAAAGGGAAAAAAAGGGAAAAAAAGGAAAAAAAAAAGGGGAAAAAAAGGGAAAAAAAGGGAAAAAAAAGGGAAAAAAGGGAAAAAAAAGGAAAAAAAAAAAGTAACATCCCCAAAACCGCCGAAACCGTCCCCCACCGCCTCCTACCCAAAATCGCCCGCTCCCCAGCCGGTAGCCGACCCCCGGAAGCGGAGAGGGCGGGTGGGCGGCTGGGGAGCGGGTGATTTTGGGTAGGGAAGCGGTGGGGGACGGTTTCGGCGGTTTGGGTTGGGGAAGGTGGGGGCGGTTGGGGAGGCGGTTGGAGGCGGCGGGGTGGTCAGTAATAGTGAGATATTGAAGCGTGGTTTACAAAACCATGTATCCCTCACTATAATTTTTGCGTCCATTGTCTACTCCCATCCTTGACTTCTTCAAAATTAGTTCGTTCAGTTATTTACCTGCTCCATCTAGAAATTTATATTTTATTAATCACTACGTGGTGGCCTATGGCTTGTTCTCCTACAGTTGTACTTACTATTTTGGTGTGGGTGGGGGGGAAAATATAGACGGAAATTGGTATAAATATATATTCAAAGTAATTTTATACAATTTTTATGCTTATAACCTAACAATTACATTTTCTTTTTATGGGCCTTGTTCAATGTTGATTTGTTGTGGCTATTCACTTCTGATTGGAACTTCCCCCATGTTTTATTAAACATCACATGGTCAATTATGGCTTGTTCTCTGGCTATTATGGTCGCTATGTTGATAGACATTTTTTTACAAGTTTTCTGTTTCGGCTGGATAAGACAGAATGAATATCTGACCATTTATTGTGGCAGGAATGAGTAGGGAGTGGAGGGGAGAGATAGTTGGAAATTAAAAAAAAACTTATTTTGTTACATATATATTACAAACTTTAAATTTACATTTCTTCTAATAATAGTCTTAACAGTAAATCTAATCTATTTTCATCGCTACCATTATTTACAATATTGCCTACGTTATACCGTAATTCGGCTACAGTTTTTCGAGGCCCATTACGATATTCCTGATGTCCCCACGGTAGAGTTTTCACGGTGTTTGGTATTATAAACCTTTTCTCGTCATTGTAAGATAATGCAACTTTGTTTTTCATTTCAGTATAAATGCCATGTAACGTACTTCTAAATGAATTCATTTTTCTAAATATCTTACCCCCACCTTCTACAATTTTTTGGTAATCCGTCATGTTTAAGCTGTTTTGTATTACACTTTTTTTTACGCCTTTAGCGGTTTTGGTTTCTTTTTTATCTGATCTAATATAATAGGCCTTTGCGCCCGTCCCTAAAAATATGCTGATAGCCTGATTTGGATATTCATCTTTGAAATTTCCCAATATTGGTTTAGTAACTGGGAGGTTAAATTTATTATCCGCTTTATAATTAGATGTGTCGAAATGTTCAATATTTCTTTTCATAAATTCATAAAAATTTATTGAATTAACTTTAAGCACAAAACTATCAGTATCTGTGTAAAGTAAGGAAACTTTATCGCCTAATTGTTGTTTTAATGTGCCGTAATAGAAATCATACATTCTTACTTTTGACAACTCCAACACCGTGAAACCTACGTACAGTGGTTTGTTATAACATATTTTAGTTCTACCCATATGTATAGCAACAAAGTTCTGTGAAAATATGGAACAAGACTTAAAATTCGGTCTAGCAATTAAGTTGTTTGCCCCCGGAGAATTTCTCTTACTAGCCCAGTGAGTTTTAAGGTAAATATCGCGTCTGTCATCCACATTTTCCATAGTTTTCCCGTACACACTATTGACCATTCGCTTAAAGTGATTTTTCTCGGATGTGTCCTTAGCATTGTTTCTCATATTTGTATTAAGATCTATATATTTTTTCAGCCAATGAGACTGCTTAAACTTGAGGGCGCGATGAATTTTAGTTACAATTAGTCCATTATTTATGGCCTGTTTAAAGTTTCTATAGTGTAATATGTATTTGTCTTTATGATTCAAATTGGGAACCAGTTTGGGGATTTCTGTTTTGGAATTAGGTGGAACTATATTCTCTACTAAAAATGGTAAATCGGTATGTTTATCATGAAGGTGATACGGATATGTTACATCAACTTCTAATACATAACCATAATCCCCGAGATCATCAACTGACATAACATCGAGTTGATTAATTTCCTCAGTCGATAACCAAACAAATTCCACCGTGGGTAGAGGCTGACTTATGCTATACCCATAGAGATTTGTCGCATCGATATAATGTATAGAAGACTTCGGCTCGAAAGGATTATATTCAGATAAATACGGATTATTGGTGATATGTTTTCTTTCTACGCATTGGCTGATACCGCCGCGTATACTATTTCTGAAGAAATTAATCATATCTATATCTGTCAACAGTTCCAACTCCACCTTGGTGTAGCGCAACATCGCATCCCATGACAGCCCTGGAGATGTATAATATTGTGCCGGATCTAGTTTACATGCTTTAAGCGATACATCCCTAAAATTTTCAAATATATCGCACAACATTAAAACGTCTGATTTTAAATATAAATCAGAATAAGATCCCAAGGTTTGACATTTAAAAACATTCCAAACTTTCTGAGCCCTTGCATAATCCTCATCAGATATGTGACAATCATTTAACTTGTCATAAAACTCATCTTTTGAAGGTAAATTGGGGTGATCTAATTTCATTATATTATCTATGAAATTATATGGAAACACCCCTTTCTGTCTCATTAAATCGAATTTTTCTTTTTCTGCAAAACATTTTTTTGTCTCAACAAAAAATTCCGATGGTAAGTTTATTGACAACCCAACCAAGGAATCCGCTAAAAATCTGTAACTATCCAAAAATCTAAGTTTTATGTAATTTTTTCTCATCATACCATCTCTATCTACATAGCTATGGGTGTACAATGGTTTAGTGAACGAAATATATTTTTCTTTATTTTTTTTTCTTTATTCTCACCTTCGCCATATAATTCTTTAATAACTAAATGACTGTCGTACCCACTTAAATTATGAAAAAATATTGGAACAAATTGCGGGATTTTATAATTTAAATTACAATTACTATGCGCGGCACCAGGTGTTTTCTTACCGGTAATATGACAATGATCTCTTACTTTAATATCGCCTTCTTGAAAGATCTCATCGCAAATAGAGCATATAGTCGATGTGTTAAAATCTTCTATTTCGGCATTAGATAGTTGGTGCATAGGGACAATGTCTTTTAAATACGTATTATAAATAGTCAAAACATCGTCCTCTAACCGTTTCACGAAATCGCTACCGGCATTATCACCCGTAAAAGTTACAAATTTCGTCAATGAATTATCAAATGAACATTTAATTATATATGCGAAAGAATATGGCTCATGTTGGTATGTAGGGATAGTAAATTTTTTTTCCGGATCTGGTTCGCAAATATCTATAGGTTTTAAGATCGATTCAAAATCAGCATAAATAACAAATGGAACTCTTAGTTGCTTATCATAATTTTGAAACTTAAGTATATTTTCAGGCACATAATTGCCGCGTTTGTCTTTTTTCGGCTCTACTGATGGCGTGCAGGTATATATATGATTACAATCGCGCAACTGATGCAGCAATAGGGCGCTTTCAGATGGAAAATAAAGTAAACATCCATCACAAAAAATTTTTTTATGACCATTTCTAGTTATTTGACTCGAGACTAACCTGGAAAGATTTTTAATCCAACAGTAGTGACTATTACCCGAATCCTCCGTTATTAGTAGTAAATTTATATGATGACCTAACCTTCTACGGGAATATCGTAATGGGCCAACTATCTCAAATTTCACCTTACCATTTTCATAACTACGTTCTAAGCCATAAACATTAACACTTATATCATTTATGTCTTCAAATTTTGAAATGTCTTTAAGCTTCATGGGAAATTCAATACCTACAACATTCAGCACGGTCTCGAAGTGTGGATAAGATGATGTTTGGCTAACATGATCTCTCGTTGGATACAGTGCCGATGTGATGGCCCAAGCAAAGCAATACGCATCATTATTTTGCACATTAACTACACCCTTCTTGGTTTCAATAAACTTGGGGAGCTTTATGTACGAGCAGCCGCCTAGTGGAGAGTACTTATTTATGTTTACTTCTAAAAATAGTACTTCCTGTAATGACCACCCTAAAACAATGAATACTTTATTAGTTAACATTATATTATGCATTAAAAAACTATTATACCTGAATCCTTATGTTGAAAGTCCGCAGTTTGAGATACCACGGCGTCCTTAAAGTCTGCATATACCGCATCCAACTCTGTCGACAAATCTAGTATTCGATTTATGCTGTTAAAAGATTTGATTTCGGAAATATCTTGGCTTTGCAATACGTAAGTAGCGAAGACCTCTAAATTAACTTTAATGGCATTATGGGCCCTCAGGACAACTTTTAACAATTCCAATATTCTAAATTTTATCGCATCAAAAAATGTTATATAATCTATATGCTTTTACACTGTAACTTGCGATTCTGCACTTAAACGCACTCTGAATTAAATATATACCATCGGCTTGAATTGTGCAGGCTTTTTCTTTATGGTCAAGACTCCTCATATGCGATGACATCTGATTAGTAGGGATGTCTACATCACATGATTCACATCTCCCATTATTCCTTTGTGAGTCTACGGTGCGATGCGTATGTACTTGTGGAACTCACACTACCCGGGCATTTTTTACGGGTAGAACATCAGGGCTGGAAGTGGCGGATTTTTTGTTCCTCTGGATGATTCACCAGTGCGATTAGATATCATCTTACAACTTTTATTTTGATGTCGATGTAAATTATCTATCCTTGTAAATGTTAAACCACAATCACACTTATACATGTCTATTATTTTACTGATATTTCGGTATTAGATAATGGAACTTAAAACTCACGATTTTAAACTGATTTAATTTGGATATGCACGCTACTATATACCCTCTCTAAAAATTCCCACCTCTCCTATGCTCCCCTCCACTATTCCTAATATACAAGTCTGAAGTTGCGCGAAGGGTGGGGTTCTACCCCTTCCATCAATGTTTACGTTGCCCGTGTCTGCTGAAGACTAGCGCTTCACTCTAGCTATGGCGGTTGAGAGTCAAGGATGTGCTTATACATGGACTTATTTTTCCTATGCCACAATGGTAATCACTGAGATGTATTTAGACTAAACTCATTATATGATATACATAGTAATTACTATCTAAGAGGTACTTACACTTCGATGAGTATGGGTACTTACCATGCTCGTTACACATTATGTGATACACATAGTAAATACTCCCCGAGAGGTACTTACACCTCTATGTATATGGAGTAATGAGAGGTGTCATTACACTACGCAATTACACTATGCAATTACACTTATTACAGTACATGATAGTAATTGGGAGGTACTTGCTAATTGCGCGAAGGGTGGGGGGTGGGTACTTAGGATAATTACTAATTACCTAATTACCTCTCTCTGTACCTCTGACCTTGGTCCAGAACTGGCTAATCTCATATACTATCAAATTTTATCAGTCGCATATGAGGTTTGTCAAAAATAAAGGTACTTCACTCTTCAACAAAAATCCTATTTTTTGACAAACCTCTTATATGGCTTAAAAAAATTAATATCTGATGGTTGTATTTTAAGTTTTGGACCATGCAGAACTTTTTATATTAATAATAATAATAATAATAATAATAATAATAATAATACTAATAATAATAATAATAATAATAATAATAATAATAATAATAATAATAATAATAATAATAATAATAATAATAATAATAATAATAATAATAATAATAATAATAATAATAATAATAATAATAATAATAATAATAATAATAATAATAATAATAATAATAATAATAATAATAATAATAATAATAATAATAATAATAATAATAATAATAATAATAATAATAATAATAATAATAATAATAATAATAATAATAATAATAATAATAATAATAATAATAATAATAATAATAATAATAATAATAATAATAATAATAATAATAATAATAATAATAATAATAATAATAATAATAATAATAATAATAATAATAATAATAATAATAATAATAATAATAATAATAATAATAATAATAATAATAATAATAATAATAATAATAATAATAATAATAATAATAATAATAATAATAATAATAATAATAATAATAATAATAATAATAATAATAATAATAATAATAATAATAATAATAATAATAATAATAATAATAATAATAATAATAATAATAATAATAATAATAATAATAATAATAATAATAATAATAATAATAATAATAATAATAATAATAATAATAATAATAATAATAATAATAATAATAATAATAATAATAATAATAATAATAATAATAATAATAATAATAATAATAATAATAATAATAATAATAATAATAATAATAATAATAATAATAATAATAATAATAATAATAATAATAATAATAATAATAATAATAATAATAATAATAATAATAATAATAATAATAATAATAATAATAATAATAATAATAATAATAATAATAATAATAATAATAATAATAATAATAATAATAATAATAATAATAATAATAATAATAATAATAATAATAATAATAATAATAATAATAATAATAATAATAATAATAATAATAATAATAATAATAATAATAATAATAATAATAATAATAATAATAATAATAATAATAATAATAATAATAATAATAATAATAATAATAATAATAATAATAATAATAATAATAATAATAATAATAATAATAATAATAATAATAATAATAATAATAATAATAATAATAATAATAATAATAATAATAATAATAATAATAATAATAATAATAATAATAATAATAATAATAATAATAATAATAATAATAATAATAATAATAATAATAATAATAATAATAATAATAATAATAATAATAATAATAATAATAATAATAATAATAATAATAATAATAATAATAATAATAATAATAATAATAATAATAATAATAATAATAATAATAATAATAATAATAATAATAATAATAATAATAATAATAATAATAATAATAATAATAATAATAATAATAATAATAATAATAATAATAATAATAATAATAATAATAATAATAATAATAATAATAATAATAATAATAATAATAATAATAATAATAATAATAATAATAATAATAATAATAATAATAATAATAATAATAATAATAATAATAATAATAATAATAATAATAATAATAATAATAATAATAATAATAATAATAATAATAATAATAATAATAATAATAATAATAATAATAATAATAATAATAATAATAATAATAATAATAATAATAATAATAATAATAATAATAATAATAATAATAATAATAATAATAATAATAATAATAATAATAATAATAATAATAATAATAATAATAATAATAATAATAATAATAATAATAATAATAATAATAATAATAATAATAATAATAATAATAATAATAATAATAATAATAATAATAATAATAATAATAATAATAATAATAATAATAATAATAATAATAATAATAATAATAATAATAATAATAATAATAATAATAATAATAATAATAATAATAATAATAATAATAATAATAATAATAATAATAATAATAATAATAATAATAATAATAATAATAATAATAATAATAATAATAATAATAATAATAATAATAATAATAATAATAATAATAATAATAATAATAATAATAATAATAATAATAATAATAATAATAATAATAATAATAATAATAATAATAATAATAATAATAATAATAATAATAATAATAATAATAATAATAATAATAATAATAATAATAATAATAATAATAATAATAATAATAATAATAATAATAATAATAATAATAATAATAATAATAATAATAATAATAATAATAATAATAATAATAATAATAATAATAATAATAATAATAATAATAATAATAATAATAATAATAATAATAATAATAATAATAATAATAATAATAATAATAATAATAATAAATAATAATAATAGATAGATAGATGCATTTATTGACAATTACATACTTTAGTACATTTGATGTCACATTTTTATAATTAGGTCCAAAAAAATATATTGTTGATAAAATAAAAACATAAGACCTCTTATAAGGGCCGTCACAATCACTACATACAAGTTAAAATAAAATTTTAAGTCACATACACACTTAAAATTACTATTAAAATTTAAAATTTACAAATATATATTCAATTCTGATTGAAAAGAAGATAATCTTTTACTGAATAAAAGCAGTGCTTTAACAAAAATTCCTTTGCGGCTTTATGAAATACATTTATGGTCATAACTTTTACTGGAATTACACTATATCTGACAAAGTGGTTATATAGGTTTAAATCAATTTTGTTGTTTTGCGTAATATTAATGCGTGAGTGCTGATTTACAAGATTCTCCCTGTTCCTGGTGTTGTAGTTGTGATACTCCGAATGAGTGTGGTTTTCAGAATAGTTTTTATGAATCGATAATAACGCCTCAAAAATGTAAAGACAAGGTAGGGGAAGAATCTTGTATTTCTTAAAGAGGGGTTGACAATGTTCACCATATGGAGAACCGTCAATTATTCGAATAGCACTCTTTTGCAGACTGAATAACTTCTGTACATTTGTATTACCCCAGATGATTATACCATAAGTTAGTTTACTATGGATAAGAGCAAAATATATGGTCCTTAGAGTGTTACTATCTAAAAATGGTTTGAGCCGTCGCAATACAAATATTTGTGTTGACAATCTTTTACAGAGATCATTAACATGTGCCATCCAATTAAGGTTTGTATCTAGGGTAAGACCCAACAACTTTACAGGTTCCGACTTATTTATTAATTTGTCTGATGTGAATGTAATTTGTTTAGTTTTTGATTCGTTAAGTTGAAGTCTGTTTGAGGAAAACCACTGCTTGGCTTTTAAAATATGTTCGTCTTTGTGAAACTTGCCCACTCTTGAGGTAATCGTAGTATCATCTGCAAACATGAAGACTGAACCCGAATCAAATGCTGTTGGTAAATCATTTATATATAAAAGAAACAAAATGGGACCCAACACAGATCCTTGCGGTACTCCTATATTGATAGAGAGAGTGTTTGACTCGCCATTTGCATAACTAACAAATTGTCTTCTATTTGTCAAATAGGATTTTAATAAGTCGTAAAATTTCCCCCTTATTCCATAATATTCAAGTTTGTGCAACAGAAGCTCAATATCGACACAGTCAAACGCCTTCGACAGATCGCACATTGTAGCCGTGGTACTGTATCTCTCATCTAGCCCCTCGACTATATCTCCAACGAGATCTGTAAGTGCCTTTATAGTTGATTTGTTTTTCCTGAAGCCATATTGATTAGGTGTCAGTAG